CAAACTTACAATCGTTATTTGTCCAAAGATATTTTCAATCGAAAAGTAATCATCCAAGCCGGATTCGTTGGTATACTTGCCTTCAACTGGTGTCATTGTTTTATGTGCTTATTTTTTCAAACAAAAAGGATCTTTCTTTTGTAATGAATTCGGTGATTGGGCTCATTGTACTATTCGAATTAACAGTTTAGACTGCAGGGCTAAATATATGGTGTAAATATATTTAACTCACTCACTGCCATAGGTACATGCATGTCCTCCTCTAGAGTATTGACACAGGAGCTTCGACCTCCTTAAAGAAAGAGTGTTCCTCCTTCAAACTTTCCAGAGTTTACCAGTATCTAACTGCTATTGAAATATTAAAACATGCGTTTTTTTATTGTATATCCAAAAATAAACTGGCACTGGGGGAATTGTTTACCTTTTAACTTTACAGTGAAACAGTTAATGAGCATTACATAGAAGGTCGAAAACTCTGAGATTAACGCTTTTAAAGCATTATTATACATTCTCAACCAGAAAGCAACATTTCATAACCTGAATACTATAAAAACTTGTGTCAAATAATAAAATTTAAAAACAAAAATTAATTACCACCAGCAGCAATAATTAGACTCTTGTACTTTTTAAAAGTAAGCTCTCCTGAAGATTGTTACTTCTATAGATATACCAAAGGGATCTGGAAACAAATCCAGTTCGTACACCCGCCCGTGGTACTTGAGCAGGTATGCCGGGTTTGATCCTTCTAGCTTCTGAGTGAAAGGTATTAATACAGTTTCGAGGGAGACCAGGAATATAATAGCCAATTTTAGCATCCATCAGCAACCATCTAAACGTTCTCATATAATCCCATCATGCCTAGGTGACCTTCCAGATACGAATAAGAAGGGTTATGCCATATAAATAAGGACCCATCCTCCCACGGTCACTTCAGGTCTGCCTGCTAAGTTTGGTCCTGCCATATTTAAAATTGTGGGAGGAATTCGCGGACAAATAAATTCACAAATACACAACGGCAATGAATAGAAGATATGATGTGATTCAATTTGTAATAGGTATAAATGTGCAAGTTACCAAAAACTGCATGTAATAGGTATAAATGTGCAAGTTACCAAATACTGTATGTAATAGGTATAAATGTGCAAGTTACCAAAAACTGCATGTAATAGGTATAAATGTGCAAGTTACCAAAAACTGCATGTAATAGGTATAAATGTGCAAGTTACCAAAAACTGCATGTAATAGGTATAAATGTGCAAGTTACCAAATACTGTATGTAATAGGTATGAATGTGCAAGTTACCAAAAACTGTACTTTGGTCACTTCAAAAGTTGCCGTATATTTCTAAAATTTTACCGAAAAAAAGAACAAAAAATAAGCATTTCTCAGAAGGAACTATAATATATTTTCCAAAGGCAAAATATACGATTTTGTTGTATTTTATACCTAACGTTTCTCTAATATTAATCAGCACTATTTATTCAAATTTGTAAATAAATAAATAGTTTCTGAGAAAATTACTGCTGTAATGTCTCTCTTCATTCGTTTTTGCTTCCTATTGTACTTATTCCATGATTCGTCTAGCAAATATTTTATGAGAACATAAGCGTCAACTACACTATCGTGTATGCCACTTACATTATGTCTGAAATACACAGTGTGCTCCAGTTATTCATTTATTAATCATTGTAAACCTACGAATGCTAAATGTATTCCATGCTGCTGTAAGAATGTTTTAAAGCCGAATACTATAGGTTGTGGCTTATGCTTCAATGTTACGCCAAATTACTTTGTGTTCTAAATCATGTTTGGACTCTGAACGTTAAAAACTAGACCAGAAAAATCGTGTCTAAAATGGCTTATGAATTTTTGAGTTGACATAAAAACAAATTGCGATGATATTCAATTCAATATTTGATAACTTTTTTGTTCAAGCTCTATGAATAAAGGGTGGAAAGTTTTTGTAACAAGCCTGTGTTGACAAACAAAACCATTTGTTTTATTTTACTAAATAAACACGTAACTTTAGGACGCATGTGTAATCTTCTTTTAATTATCTGCTATTTCGCTTTCTGGTTCCCCGGTGAGACAATGGTAAATCTACAGATTCACAGCGCTAAAATTCGGGGTTTTATTCCCCGCGGTGGACACACAGCAGATAGCCAAATGTGACTTTGCTCCAAAACAAATAAAGACTTTCCAATCGCTGGGTAACAGCTACTATCTATAGTTATTTGTGAAATCTAGGCTTTCTGAAATGTGATCCATATAGTCCATTAGGTATTGCCGCTGTCAACAACACACGACTGGTTGTGTTTATAGTCATTTTCTTTCAGCTGTGCCTTACGTCAACCAACCTGAGATAACTAGTTGTGACGTCACACATCGGGTGCCTGATTAAACTGTTTTCTGAAGAAAATGTATTGGCTTTTCTTTCAAGCTCGGGGATCTGGTAGACTTTCTAGCTTTTTTTCTGGGAGAAACATTATACATTTTTTCCTTTGTAAATTTTGGTTAATCGTATATATTCTGTTAAAATAAACAGTTTTCCTGCAGACTTGTATTTTTTCTTGTCACGAATTGTACTTACATTGATACATGGGCACTCACAGAAATATTTTCAGGGGAGGGGGGGCAAAATATGTATGTAGAGGATCAGTTTTTACAGTGCAAGTCAGCAGACTAAAATAATATATATGTTACCCGTGCTTAAAAGCAAACATAAATTTACAGTTTTAATAAAAATTACTAAAGTTATTTAGTTTAACTAAAATGTTAACTTTACATCATAATACGTGCATTTTTTTATGAAATGTAGGGGGAAGGTAATTGCCCCTTCCTGTAGGTGCCCATGCATTGATGTCGATCTCTTTGTCATGAACAGTACATTGATATAGCTACTATTATGTTTATTTTAACATTCATATACTCGTTTTTTATCATTTATGATCTGTTATTTTGATTCAAATAGAAATATTTTTATATAATGTACAACGTAAGAACCACACCCTCGTGGCTCAGTATTAAGTCTGAGGGCTTATATTACTAAAAAATCATGTTTCGATACTGGCTGTGGGCACAGAACAGATAGCCCATTGTGTAGCTTTGTGCCCACAGCTGCATCTATATCTGACAGATCTTATTCATTGTTCAAAAAGGTTAAGCACAAAGCTACACAATGGGCTAGCTATGCTCTGCCCACCACGGGTATCGAAATCTGGTTTCTAGCGTTGTGAGTCCGCAGACATACCGCTGTGCCACTGGGGAGTCTTTTGGTTGTTAGGTTCATATTACTTAAGTTTATGAGAACTCCTAAACTTTGCAAAAGCACAACATAAGAAGTCGAAAATAAAAAATACATGAAGTTTCTTAACCAGAGTTTTTTTTTTATATTTTAGTCACTGTTTTTCAAGCCCCAAATGGTTTTTACGTATAATAATGGTTACGTAAATGGTTTTTAGTGTATAACTACGGATATATTTGTCTACATAGCATTTCTTATTGACTCTTTTAACAAAATCCGCAATATATCAAAGGAATATTACAACTGTAGTTGGGATTGCTGCCTTCTAAAATTAAAATCTGTAAGTATTTTGTTTCTCATGATAATTTTTTATAATATCGGCACTGGTAAAATTAATTTTGAGTATAACTTAAGTTTAAATTCATTCTAAGAATTAAAAAAAAAGTCAGATATAAACTAGCATTTTATCATTACACGATCCCAAATTTTCCATCTGAAACAACAGTATCAATTTTTTTCAATATGGTTTTATATAATCTGAAGTTATATTCCATTAAAGTAATATATTTGTACATAAATAAACGTCAATATATGTGTATGTGTGTATCTATTCCTTATACGTTTTCACATTTCTTGATCAATTAGCAACAAACTTGATACAGTGATACAGGGTGACATGAGGAAAGTTATGAATGGGTTTTGTACCCCATCATCCAATTTCATACTGACAGCATTCTGAGAAAAGAACATATCTTTGTTTTCAGTATTGGTACCTTTATGTATTTTTATTGCATTTTTAATGTCTATTATGTTAAGGATAAAAAACAACAACAACAAACAATAGAAGCACAATTTTCTATCCTAAGTTACAAACGAGTATTTATTTCATTCGTCCAACGGACTGGTACTCCAGCTAATATATACATGTACATATATGTACATATAAACGCGCGCGCGTGTGTGTGTGTATTATGTATAAGCTCACATTGTACATGAATTGTGTAAGCAAATTATTCATCTTATTATAAACACTTTTTTCTGATTATTGTTTTTCGAAAGAGATACGTTATTAATTGTTGATACATATTCTGTAAATGAATGTGAAAGTTTTATTAACTTGTTGCTAAAAACATTCTATTTCGAAATCTTAACTTATATGGTTAAAAGTACATTTTTATATTTATGAAATACAATTCTAATTTCGCAAAATGCCAAAATCTAGAAGGTCATAATAAAATATAAGTGGTTATATTTTATCAGATGATATATTTAAAAAATTGACTGTCCTTTAACCTATAATAATAGTATCTTTATTAACCGAAAGGTAGCAGCACATTAGTAGAAATAATACTTCTAATTGTATGTTATCCAGGAAACTACTTTAATGATTTATTATTAAAATTATAATCAAAAAGTTTTGAAATTAACCACTTCTTTGTTTTTATTTGTAAAATCCGCCATGTTAATACTATGCAGAAAATAAAATATATCATGTTCCTATTACTGCAACTTTATCCTATATAAATTATTTATATTATATCTTCTTGTAAAAAAATTACTTTGTATATCTGTGTTTTTATAAAAAATATGGATGTTAGGATTTACTATTATAATCCAACAGGTTGTAGAAAGTACTATAGGACGCATTGATGTGAGATGTGTATGTAAACTCAGCTGTCCGTCTCCCCTTGATAGTCGTAAATGTCACGTGGCCTGACGTCATTTCCGTCAACAATATCATAATAGCCGTGAACACAAGCGCAGCTGATCATTAAAGTTAATCGTGATACTTGTGTTGATTATAGAACAGATTGCCAAAAAGCGAAGTTTATAATATAAATAGAAAATAAAAAATGCCATTCATAAGCAAGGATTGGAGATCGCCTGGTGAGGCATGGGTAAAGACGGACGAAGGTTGGGAACGGAAAAAAAATCTTGAGCAGCTAAATCGTAATATGAAGAAAAGGTATGTAGGCCTAACGTACCACTACCAGATGAAATGTTTATTGCTTGGTAGTGGGATAAAATGAGGCTTGATGTCTCTTTTTAGAAGGAGGCTTCACAGAAGCATACCACGAGTTATCGTTTAATATTAGCATATCCTTTTTAAAGCTCCGTTTATATGATGGATAATTAAAATGATATTGCTGTTAGAAGAGGGTTAGAGACTATTTTCACTTAAAAAGAATGATTCTCTTAAGAACAACTGGACGTATTTAAGTTTATATATATATATTTTTAAACGGCTCACATTTTTTAAAAATTCTTAAGATTTTTATTCTAATGTGAAATCTTTAAAGTTTAATATTTTATGGTATTAATAATTACTATTTCTATAAAGTTTTACTTCTTTAAATTCATAAAGTCCATTTAGAACTGATATTTAAATTTAATTGTAATTTGCAGTTGTAGATCATATATGAAAAAGCAAAACATATTTTTGTTTTTCTTAAGGGTTTCTTGAATCACAGAAAAAGTTTTTGTGACAAGTTATACTTGGATACAAGTATTTCACTGGAATGTATCACCATATAACAGGTTTAGTCTTTTATTTAAAAAAATAACTCAGAGTTCAAGATAGTAGAATTGCATAATTATACTAAAATATATACAAATAAAGTTAATGATAGATATATATTTACACAAGATATAGCTTTATTTTGTTCTAAACACGTGTCTGACATACTGCTTGCTTTTTAATATACTTGTATTAAAATATAACATTCCTAACAATTACAATGTGCTCTATGGGACGAATTATTTGTAACTTTCATGTTATCATTAAATGTTATTGATTAATACTAATTCGTACACTAAAACTAAAAATGTCATACTGAACGAAATGTAACTAAGTTGTTATCACGGAAATTTCTTCGAATTCGCAAATTCATTAACTTTTAATGATCGAATAGTTGTCAAGAAATACATCGAAACCGTTAAACATAATAATTTTTAAACGTGGAACTGAAAAAAAATTGTTAGTGTTTGCGTAAAAACACTTGTAATTTTTATTGTATATTAAAAATAACCATATAGCCTTGTTACGTTTCTTAACACTTGTAACAGCATCGTTCATCATAACGAAGAGAACGAGATAAGTTGTGTACGCCAAAGTCACATTAAACCTTCTCTGTTATGTAACTAAAACGACAGTAAATCAAATTAAACATATATATCTTTATTATGTATTTTAGACATTATTAAATCACTAAATATCACAATTTACGGATATATATATTTTGTACTGTTAACACGATGGGTAGTACGTTTTTTCTTCGACTACGCCTGTCCTTTGATGTTTTTTATGCTATATTTATAGTAATTTCATAGGCATATTTGTCGACGTATTTTTCATATATTTTATTGTATATTAATTTGTTTATATTATAATCAAATGTGTGCTATAACCAGTGTTACACACATCTCTAATTTTACGTAGAAAAACAACTGCATCACATTGTAGAAATACCTTTGTTTCAAAGGTGTGATGGCTTACTTGTATTAAGAACAAAATAAAGACTTGCGTTAGCCAGTGAAGGTGTGAATTTATATTACACATTACCAATGTTTGGTTTAGAGAAATTTGAAATTATTTTAATCTTGAAATAACTTTAATATATTTCAAATTAGCAAGAGACATTATACTACAATCGTGATAAAGCTATCATTATAGAGAAACTGGTGTTCATTGATTTTGTAATATTTTTTTACATAAATAACGCTTTGTTCAATGGAAAGTGTTTGGTATAGTTAGAATCAAGTAGGACAGGGGAACACACTGCCATGCGTTTCGCAACTCGGTTGGTAACAGTAACTAACAACTTGATAGTCTGTCTACCAGCTGATTGAACCCTTTAAGCCTGCTTGTCTGGGCATCCAGGGAGGTCATATTCAAGGCGTGCTTTGTTTGTAAGGAATGCCACGTTCTGAGCAGACGTTTTCTTTCGGGCCGAAAATAATTTTTACTTTTTATATAATGATTCTGAAGTGAAGCTTCATTTTTGTTTGTTTGTTATTAAGCACAAAGCTACATAATAGGTTTTCTGTGCTGTGCTCAACGCAGACATCGAAACAAGATTTCTAGCCTTTTAAGCCCCCCAGACTTACAGCAAATCATCGGGGAGGGCGATAAGCTTCGTGTCTAGATACTTGTTTTTCAATCAGGAGATGTTTAGAGGAGTATGTGTTTGTAAAAATAGGTGTTTCAAACCTCTCAAACGATTCTGATCTGAACTTTATGAGAGGGAAAACATGTTTTTGATCCTGCTTTCTTTAATTTCCCCGCCTTCATTTAATAGAGTTAAGTTTTGCTTTTTTAATTTTTTAACCAAAGCTTTCAAATTTTTAGAAGTTTTCCTAGAAATCTTCAGTTACAAACTTTTAAGTGTTTAAAACGTTTTCCTAGTTTCACATAATATTAAACCGATGTTTCCCGCAATTTTAAAAAGAAATGTGTAAAAACCAACAAAACATGGTAGATATTAGGGTAAATCTGGGGTGTTCAAAGACAATAATTTATTTTCACCTCGGTTTGAAACATGGTTATGTTTGGCGAAATGAAACCTTTAAGTGGAAAGCATAAAGAGAAAGCTAAACTAAGTAATAAGAATAGAAAAGCAATCCACGATGAGTTAGATCAGCTTCAACAGAAACAGAAACAAAAAAAAAACATCAGCAAACACCTAGAATTCCAAGTGGAAAGTACACAGAAAGAAAGAAAGAAAAAGTTACTACTTCTAAGAGAATGTAACCTATATTATGTTTTCAAATAAATAAAGCAGTTTGGCAAATAGAGCTACAAAAAATATCTATCGCCTTGTAATAGCATGAGGCACTTATGAATGATGATGATAGAATAATGTTCACAGCTAGATAAGTTTTATAGCCAGGTAGCTAGTGCGTCAGAAGAAAAAGTGACGTCATAAATCGTCATCAGTGAATCAGTGTCAGAGCAAAGAAGTGCAGGGATTGTTTAAGTAGCTCTACTTTGAGTTTTTATCTTAGTCTGGGTTTCAAGGTCAGAAAAGGGAATAGAAACGGTCTGAGTAGTACCACAAACAGAAGGTGAGGGATGAATTTGAACTACTTGAGAAGGAGGAGGAGGACAGACTTTAACAACTTGAGTTGGAGAAAAGTTAATCTTAGGAGTATTTCGTGGTTTCTAGGCTTAAAGTTGATTTGGAAGAAACTATAATGAGACAGATGAACTTGAATTGTTAAGAAGAAAGCACCATCTTGAAAATTTTCGTTAACACTCTGATAGTTTCAGAATCAATGTGGTATCACAACAGAGAATACATCTGAGGCCAGAGTAGTGATATTTCCTCGGTTGTAATAGTTTGATCAACGGTATGAATGAAGAAACATTGAAAAATCTTGGTACTAGAAGACTGGTTGCAAAATTTTCGGAACTTTTCTTGCAATCAAGAACAGATTAATAGTCCAGTCTTTCTGGAAGCATGTAAGAACAAAAAGTCCACTTCTTTTTTTTTTAATCGTACGATCTTAAGAGGATCCAATCGTACTGTTGACTTAAAGAAACAGTTTAAAGACTGAGGTGGCAAAAAAAAAAAAAAAAAGGAGACCGAAAAACTATCAATTATGAAAGGTGTGACATAAAAAGGAACAGGAATGAAAAAGAAACAAAATAAGTAAACAAAACTGAAAGAAAGTCCTGAAATGGATTGTTTTAAAACAACAACAAATTAAATAGCGCATAAGAATATGACGAATCCATGACAACTAGACACCTAAAAAAGTGACGAAGTAGGACATTTAGACACCACTTGTTTATTATAAAATAAAACAACAATTTTCTCCATTATATGACAAGTATATAATATACCTAAGCCTACTACATTACCAGTTTACTTTAGTCGATTATATGAACTGTATAGATATAGGCCTATTTTATTAAAAGTTTAAATCTACTCCATTATTCGATCTACATAGATATTGGTTTATTACATTTTAATTTACTCCATTGTATGACCTGCATGGTAACCGGACAACTAGACAATTATTAGATGTCTAATTGTCCGGTTACCGGATATGACAAACAGCAAAGAAATAGAAAAGGTAAAAAGTAACAAATGTGAGTTTAAAGATGATTGGGTAATATAACTAAATTAATTGCAAATAATGACTTTTTGTACACCTTAAGTAATAAAATAATTGAGGGGGTTTGTGAACAGAAATAAAAAATGACTTTACTACAAAAATAAAGAGTAAGTTATTTATTATGCGCGGAAAATCAAGAATAAAATTTGTTGTCAAGATCCGTTACCAAGTATATATTTTATCTACACACATATATATATATATATATATATATATATATTGCTATCACTAGAAGGTTGTCACCCAATGGGTGTTAGGTTTTAACTGGATGTGATCAAAATTTAAAAATTGTAATGATATTTGTTGTTATAATGTCAAATTCTAGAAGAATAAATTATAATAAACGTATCGTTTCACAGTATAAATTAAGCTGTTATTGATTACGTCACAACTTTGTCCCCAGATCTAGGACCTACGCATGCCCACTCGAATTTGGTAGCTCTTCACATCAAACTTCCTAGTGAATGTCTAATAACTGTTATCTTTAGTCGTGAAAATTAGCAGACACTATCTCTTGAACTACCCTTTCATTTCCCAACAACAACTAATGTTCTATCTAAAGTATTTAGTGAATAGTGATTAATTTGCTTGAGATTAACTTCTTAATTCTATTGCGTCATTTAGAATTTGTTCGTACCTCTGTAAATTATTACATGATCAAGAAATCGTATAGATTCAGAATTGCCTTTGACTGATAAATAACATGTTCCTACCAAAATAATATTCCCCTTTTTATTTAACCAGAGATAATCCAGTGCTTGGTTAGCAAGCACCAGGCACAAAGCTGTAATATTAATCAGATCACACAGCCCTGTAGTAGACGTTGAGCTAACAGCGAACTTAGGGTGTCCACCTAAATATTTTTTTAAAATTTAAACAACGTTTAAATTAGGTACCCATAGTTAAATGGCTAAAAGTCACATATTTTGTTATATTTTTGCGAGAGATAAAAATATAACTACAGTAATTCTAATTGTTATTTTACCTAACCATAGCAAGTTCCAAGCGGTCGCTTGTCTTGCTTGTTCTAAGGCCGGCACTGGAATAAAAAAGATGATTGTTTCCACAAGTGTTATGAAATGTTAATTAGTAATATGAATGCATAGCCGTTTGGTAGTTTCAGTTTTGTTTTGTTTTTTATCGCATGAAGCTGTTTAGACATTACAAGGCGGCATGATTTTGATAACTGCGAAACGACTAATATTCATACTGTAAACCTTGCACCAATACGAGAAATGTTTATTATCTCTTGTGGCGGTTGTCTGTACTATGTTTTTACTAATTGTATTTTCTATTAAAATATTTATATATGTTTCTGTATTACGTCTTCTTGGTTCATCATGAGTCGTAGTACAATGTCACGATCAGCTCGAAGACATCAAAATATTCTAGAAAGTAAGTAATTTAATAAATATTACATTGTGAAGTATTGTCAGTTTTAGCCATACCAACTAAATTACCAGTAATGTGTATATATAAATATGTATAAACTTTATCATATTCTAACCCATTGTATATAGGGTGTTGAAGAAAAGTCAGTCAACTATCTCTAGTAATAAAAAAACTTTTTCTGTACCGAAAATCCTTGCTACTTCAAATTTTTTATCTTATTGGAAGGCCCGGCATGGCCAGGTGGTTAAGGCACTCGACTCGCAATCTGAGGGTCGCGGGCTCGAATCCCTGTCACACCAAACATGCTCGCCCTTTC